ACTACATAGCTTCGACAAGAGGAGTAAGTGGAATACTTTATTATATGAAAAGCCAGTTCCTCGGTGCTTCAAATAATAAAATTACATGCAGGGCAGTTTAAAACACCACAAGTTTTGCGAATTTTTGTTAAATTATCACGTTGGTAAAATTTGTCATACTCAAAACATGCAACTCTTGCTTCTATTCAGTGGCCAAATTTCAATAACTAAAAAAACACTAAGGTAATTTACGAAATGGGAAATTCAGGAAACCTCAAAAGTTTAGTGGGAAATTCACGCTACTATTGGTCCCAAATAATAAATTGAAAAACAATGATATCCGGTAACTATGCAAGTGGCGCCGATTGTTCCGACCATAGTCTTTAGAAACCTATGGTAGGGAAATTTTTTAAAATTTAATGTAGGTTTTTTCAGCTTGGTGTGATAGAAGGATAAAAAGTAAAAATGTATTTCAGGTATATTAGAGAGTCATAGTAATATAGCCGAATTGGACAGAACTTTTTGTAGAAAATTGACTAGAAAAACGTTGAAATTTTTTAAAAAATTTTTGATTTTTTTAAAAAATTTTTGGTTCCCAAAATGAAGCTAAGAAACTCCAAAAACTAGTTTTGGTTGCTGAAATATAAGTTTTAAGGTCTTAAATTAGGCATAATACAGCTGTTGTAAGCCTGCTTGTTTTTATTGGCTCTATTTAAGACGAAAAATCAAAAAATTCAAATCTGTTTTTCTCGACACAAAAAAATTCTGATATAAGAACGGAATGACTGTGTTCAAACACTTCTTGCAGTGGTAAAATTTGAATCAGTTTTGTCATAACAATGGAACTGATATTTTAAAACTTCGATGTAAACATAAACCTGCCCAGTTCTACAAAACACAAACTTCACCCATTTTGCAAAAATGATAACGATTGTTTTTCGTTATACAATAAATCTAAATGAGGTTAATACCATTTAGTGTAGCTAAAAGAAAAATTAACAAATTGGGGTGCAACTTTGTTTTTTTAAGCTAATTTCATCTCATTTCATATCAGCGAATCAGAATTGAGCTTAGGTTATAATGAATTTGTTATCCATTTTGTTATTGGCCAATCAAAATTGAGCTTAATTTATAATGAATTCATCATAAATTTGGCTGTCAACTAATTAGAATCAAGATTCTTACTTCAAGTAGAATTTTTCTCCATTTTAACATCAACAAAGCTAAATCAGGCGTTCATTCGAAGTGAAAACAAATGTTTTCGCATGCCGGGAAACGCACAGTGATCAGTTGCCTTTTGGCTTAGTAACACTCATAAAACAGAAAATTGTGAAAATTTGGACAATCAATTGGAAGATTTTTTGACAAACTGAGACATTGTGTGGTTATCAAACTCTAAACTGTGAAGGAATTGACAATTTTTTTCTTGCTTTTTTCTTTATAAGAAAATCTATTGATTTTTGGTTTATTGATTGACCATTCAAACTCAGTCAGGTTTTTTTTCAGATCTCTCCTTGCCATAATAGTATCAAAAAGGGAATTATTTTGGTTTCCATTGAACAAAAATTGGTTTGTTCTTTATTGATTGACCATTCAAACTGAGTCAAGTGCCTTTTTTTCTGATGTTTCCATGCCATAACTTCAAAAAAAAAGAATTCCTTTGGTTTTTTTGGACAAATAACTAAAGCAATCTACATCACTTTACCACTATTATACGCTTATGTATATTTTTAGCTTTAAAGTCTAATAATTTTTCATTTCAGATTTGAAAAATATTTTCGACAAAGTTGTTTTTCCTACGAAAAAAAAATTTTGTTGTTCAAAGTTGGAAACACCAGCGTTGTTGAAGTAAATTCCGGTCAAGAAAAGTAAATTTGTATCTTTTTTACTTATTTTGAATAAGCAGTTAAAAAAGAAAACGCATTTCTATTAACACAGTGGAGCAAAATCTCCGGAATTCTGCTCATAGCCTATAAAGTTATCTAAACGAAACGATTTTTTCCCTATGAGTGATTTGATTAACCTGACCAGCTTGATTTTCCAGAGCTACCACCTTATGAAGCCTTCTTCAGTGCACTTTGGAACAGTAATCCCCTAGATAAAGATTTCGCTGATTATGAATAACAGAAAAGGCGGAAATTTCAAAACCAGAACTATCCGAACTTGCAATCTTCAGAAAATGGCCATGTCTTTTTACCAAAATTTTTTTCGAGCTTTCGTTCTACTTTAATAAAAAAAGGTATCAATCGGTAAAAAAAGAATCTGAGAGTCTGAAACATTGAAAGTAAGTCAAGTTGATTTAAAGATGAATTGAATGGGTCAAAATGGACCACCTGAACAGTGAATTTTCTATTTTGATTTTTAATTTTTCCACGTTGTTTGCCTAAAACAGAAGTACTATTTGTGCAGTTTGAGATTATTTTCCCAATAAACGTCAAAAAATGATTTATAAAATTTTGTGTACAAA